CATTTATATTTTGACGTTTCCCTCACCAATGACTGAGTTGACGTTCTTGGAAGTGTTCTTTCCAAAAGCACAGATACAGGCACACTCAGCAGGCACAGTAAAGCTGGCCAATGACCATTGGCTGTCCACATACTGACCAATCACAGGACCCACCTTCCCAACACGTGCCAGCCTGTGGGATGAAGAGAAGCAGAGGCGTGAGGATCACGATGGTGTGTGTGTGTGTGTGTGTGTGTTAAAAGGACTCAATTAGCAGAAAGTGGTCTTACGCAGAGCGACGGTTGAGTTTGGTGTCTTTGAGTGCAAAGATGTGAACTGTGCCTTTGTCACTGGATGCGCACAAGAAGGATGAGTCATGGCTGAAGTTGATGCTGGAAAGAAAAACCACAAGTATCATTTTACAACTGCCAAACAGGCCATTCTGTAGCTCGGTTACATTAAAACCCTCACCTCATATTTCATGCCTTTCCTAAAAATCAGTTTATTCATCATGCAGAATAAATATGGGATAAGAAGGTCTTTTTCTTTGTCTTTAATTTCTCTGATCTTGATGGAGGAACAGAATTAATGTATTGTTCTATTGCCAAAAAAATCCTAGTTTTTAAAGATGTAAGATATATATTAGTTTAGACTATTGTGATTCATTTAATTAATTAAAGCAATTACCAGAGAACATAATGTGCCCATTAACACATAATGGGCCAGATTCAGCAACCCCTGTTGATGTTACAAAGTATGGTTAATATCAACTGAAGCTGTGCAGTGGTGATCTTTTTTTGAATGAAATGTGTAGACAGATATTTTTGTAACTGGCTCTATTCATATACATTCATAGGAGTTTTAGGAAGAGGGCATTTATTTATGTATTTTTGATTTATTGGGTGAAGGATCTCTGTAACGCTAAGTGTGCTCCTTGCTGCATGCACTGAGGTCTGACGGTCTGATTCTGAGAGGTTTTGAAGACACAGGAACATTGAAATATTCTGGAACATCGGTGCACTACCCATTTACTACTTGAGTGTTTACCAGTAAAGAGTGGCAGGGTCTGTTCCTCTGCGCAGCTCCACCAGTTTGTCCCTGGTCGTTGTGTCGAACAGGCGGATGAGGGTTCCTTTACGAGAGGCTGAAGCTGCCACGCTGCCGGGCTGGTTGAGTGCCACACAGGCAATCTCGCTCTGATGGGCGTTGATAGTAAAAGGGGCAGATGATGTTCCAGGTTTGGTGTTGGACAGGTCCTGAATAAAAAGCAACATGTTAGACTACGACTTTTACGACGCAGACATTTTCTTCAGGAGAAACAAAACGTCCTGTTTGTTTGTGACTTACAACCAGCTGCAGGCTGCCACATTTGTGACCTGGGAAGACCAGAAGCTGTTTCTCCAAACTGGGACACAAATCGCAAAGACCTGAAAGAAAGAATTCACTGTATTCAAAATGCTAAGCAGTATGTTGCAATGGAAAAACAGCTCTACACAAGTAGTATGATACCTTTGGGGTTATCTCTGGTGTCAAACTCAAAAAGCTTGACAGGGTTGTCTGGAAAACTGTACACATAGATCCTGTTCTTCAGCACAATGATGATCCTAGAGGGAGCAAAGGCAACTATCATTTTGACAGTTCAGTGACAATAAACAGTATGTGTGAGGTGATGTAAAACTCACTTGTCGTGTCTCATGCGGACAGCCAGAACAGGCTTGGTGAAGGTGAATTCCAGCACCAGTTTGTCCTTAGGATCCCGTGACTCCCGAGCATCGTCCCAAATCAACACTGAGACATTGACATTGTTTTGTTAAAAACTTATTTTTCATCATGTTTTTAAGGTGCACTCACATATCTTGGGTAAACACCTCTCATAATAATGACCCCCCCACCCCCACCCCCCACACACACACAGGTCAAAGCTGTACAATGCACGTCCTACTTTAAACCAACTCACCAGATATTTCTGAGAATTTAGGATTGACTCCACCTCCAATTATGGCCAGCAGGTTAGAGCGATGCAGCATGGAGCACAGGGCTACACTGCCAACCTGCTCATGGTCTGCAAATGACACAAACACATATTCAAGTCCTTTTTAGGGAAAGGTGCACAAGAACAATGTTTTCCTTGAATTCTCGTTATGAAAGTCATCGTTTTCCTAGCGAAAAACATTTAAATACACTAATAAAAGTCTGAAAAGTATTAACATCTATAAACACATAACATGTCTGAAATATTCATGAAACATTTGAAAATAATTACCAAAATGTCTTGAAAAATATTGGTAGCATGTCTAGAAATAATGAATGAGCTCTCTCTCAGGCACTGCTCTACATGTGAAAGCCGGGTCAGAGGACTCACCCAGGTGGCCCTTCTCCATCAGCGGCTCCACGTTGTAAATCCTGACCCCCGTCTCCATAGCGCAGCAGAAACAGCCTGGTGATGATAAGAGGACAGAGAAGATTTAAACCTATGAATCATTCTTATTCAGCTTTGGCAAATCTAACATGTTAGCTGCCTGGAGCCGTTTACAGCCCAGTAATAATCCTCCAAACTGAACCAGGTGCTGGGGACATCAGGTGCTTTTTCATTGTGTTGCCTCCATAGTTTTCTGTAATATTCTGGATATTTATAATTGAGCTACTTGTATATATTAAAGTTATTTCTTATATTTTGTAACTTTGTAATCTATTTTATTATCTAATTTAGTTCAGTCTGTTGCTGTTCCTATCGTCTTGGAGCAACTGTAAACACATAATTTCCTTAGGAATTAATAAAGTATTCTGACTCTGATTCAAGTGCTACATCATAGTGCTAGCAACAGCAACAGACTCAGACTGATTTTGCTATTATATACTATTTTTTAACATATTCTTTCTAAATAATGCTGTTTATCTTCTATATTATCTGCACATGTCCAAAACACGCCTCTCTAACTCTGTCTCCAAACTACTCAACCCACACCTTCCCTCTGATCTACACATTCATCAACATATTGCAATACATTTTCAGTTTAGACAAAAGATAAGTCTCAGCGCTGCTGTGTTGGGGGAAGGCTGTGCTCACCAAGCAGTGACCAGGTCAGAAAATCAGACGATTAACCGGCAAAACAAGTAATCACTGGTAGTTAATGAACGTGTGGATGGATATCAGGAGAATAACTGAAGGTACATATAGATTTTCCTTTATCACACATTTGCCTGGTTCTGTATTTCTTACTAATTCTGTTTTTGTATATGTAATATGTTTAACCACAACCAGCTTAATACATGTAGTTTCTGTCTGGTGGTTAGCTCGTAAATCGTTCTGGGTTTTTCACAGCAGTGTTCAGTTTCATCTATGTGTATTATTCTAACATCATACCCATCCAACCTAATTTACCAAATTTTCAGAGTGACTTGTAAGTTAAGACATAAGAAATCTTACATGGATTATTTCCGAGACACAACTTTATGTTGAAAAGAATGTAGTTACAGAACAAAGCCATTTCCCTTGAAGGCCTTCCCTTTGTGTAGCCAGAGAACGTGCCACCGTTCTCACACCACTTTCTCTAGTTTCATTGTACCCATTGTTATCTTGTTCTTTTGGGTGTGCATTTTCCCCTTTAACGTTAATATGAATAAAATTTTCGAGCCTCTGTAAATCTGCCAGGTTTCTCCTCAGTAACTCAACTTAGTTTGGTTCTAAAACGTGCACCAACTCAGTTCATGAACAAAGGCAACTTACTTTGGTCCTGATTGAACTGCAGGCTGTTTACTCCTCTCTGCTGGGCCATGGCTCTCAAACAAGCTATTACCGGTAAACTGCAGCAACCTGAGAAAGATGGGACAAAAGAATAAGACGGATGTTCAGGCCACAGTCTTCGTTTTTCTCTGGATGCTTTAAGCTGAGCAACACAAGCTGGCAGAGGCAGCTAGCCACATTAGCAGGAGGCAGAAGCGATCATTTGTTGGTTTTCTCTGGATTTAAATACATATGCAAGTCTTACCATAAGGCGCACACCAAAAACGAGACGAACGATTTCAGGCGCTGATCAAACGTCGACTGAAAACAGAAATATTGCAACACACAGGTTTGTTTTTGTTTTTCAAGGAAGACGTCACCGACACGTGCTTCCGGTTAGGTTCCGCTTCCTGTTATAAAAACAAGTAAACAAAAGAACGTTAAATTTCTATTAAACGTTAAAAGATTAATTGCATAATCTGAGTTCATAATTGTAATAAACATATTCATATCAATTATTAGCCAACCAGTTTATTTTCATCAGAATAAGTGGTCCTTCAAACTGGAATACTCACACTGGTTTCTGTGGGGCCTTCTATCTTTTTATACCGGTTGCCAAACACCTTCATGTTCATTACCGCCACCTTCTGGACTGGAGTGTGGATCAGAACAGCTTTTACACCCATGCTCTCGTGAGAATATGGGTGTTGCTCTTTAAAACCCAAATATCGCACTATAAAC